AATATGTTTAAATTAAATGTTATCTTTTAAAAATATAATTCTATGCTATACACATCATATATATTTTTATTAATACATAATTAACATAAATAATTTACAAAAACATAAAAATTTAAATATATATATAGTTGAGTGCAGGTATAGTCGGATTCGAGTATTATCGGATCTTATTCGAGCCTCAGGTCTAACTATATATGCTCGGGTCAGATTACTTATACTCAATTCATTGGCATCCATATTTATAAGACTATATTAATGAATTTTTTGTTGAATCAAATACATTATGGGTCTGTAATTTCAATCAATTTTTCTCAAATTTTATTAGTTGGACTCTGCGTTTTTTTCACAAAACATCGAATCATATATTATTATACTAAATCCAAACCAATTTTTTCAAACTTGTTTTGTGAAATTGTTGGAAAGTAAACTTTTTATACTGAGGTATAAGAAATTGTATAGAGATATAAACATAATAAATGTGTGTAGTATTTTAATTTTTTTGAAAAATATGTAAGAAAGAAAAATTATAAAAAGAACAAATAGTCAGACTAATTATATATTTATGTTATATAATTTATTTGATATTTGGAAACTCCTAATTTAGGAGCCCTTAATTTTTATTTCAATCCGAAAACTTTGTATCATCCGACTTCAATATCACTTAATATCTTAATTATAGCCTTAAATGTGATTAAAATCGTATTATTGTCACTAAATGTCCTTTAACAACCATTAATAATTATATTATTAGTCTTCGATGTCCCTAAATGCCTGATTTTAAGCTTATCTCCGACTTATTACTCTATTTTCGCAGCAGCAACGGCGATCTACAATAATTTTATTCTACTAATAAATTTTAATTAATTTTACTCTAAAATTATGTTCCCTATACATTTCTTATTTTTATTATTATATACTCTCTCCGTCCCATTGTAAGGTTACCATTTTTTATTTTCGTCCGTCCCAAAACAAGGTTACCATTTCCTAATTTAGTAATTGTACTACCTACCTAAGATAATAAATGCCCTTTCAACTTAGAATATATTACACAAATGTCATTACTTTTATATTACACCATACTAATAGGGGTATTTTTGTCTTTTTTTACTACAATCTAATATAATACTAATATTAAAAAATCTACGTGCAAAAAACAAATGTCACCATTCCAATGGGGAGGAGGGAGTATAATTTTTTGTATTTATAAATTACACCTCAACTTTAATTTATTTTTACATATCACTTTCGAAAAAATAAAATCATAGTCCCTCTATTCCTTATCTATCTGTTTAGTTTTTGAGCGAAATTTTATAAATATTAATATTTATTTGGGGTGTGGTATGAATAAAATAGAAAAGACTAAAATAATCTTATTAGTTATTACTACAAATAAAATTTACCTATTTTAAAATGACAATTACTTGCAATTAATCAATTAAGTGATTATTTTGGAATAAAACTTTTCGTATTAGGGTTGGTTTGGTTTTGATTTGTGTTTGAGATTTTGGTTTGAGTTTTATATATATAATTGATAACATGAGAATCTATTATTGTCTCACTTAAAAATTTAAATTGTTAGGAATACGCATAATTTATTTATCTACAAACGGAAGTCCGCTAATAATAGTAAAAGTAATCAACATTAATACTAACATACATATATTATATCATTTCACAAAATTCAATATTCAACATAAAATATTACTCCCTCTGTCCGGGTGTCAGAGCTAATATAGATACGAAAATTTAGGAGGGATATAATTAATAAATAATTTAAAATATATTAATAAAATTAATTAAAATATAATACAAATAATTATATATTAAGATTAAGATAACTAATCACTCTAACTAAAATTTTTTAAAAAGTATATAAATTATAAAATTTAAAATAGGATTAAAAAGTAAAATACTTTTCAAAAAAAAGTGATATAATATATGGTACGAACAAAAATAAAAAATGTGACATGATATTTGAGACGAAAATAGTATCTTTTAAATTACTTACACAATTTTTTATATTTCACATCAACAATAAAATTTCAAATTAAAACACTAAGCAAACACACTTTTAATTTATACATAAAAAGTAAAAAGAATTAAAATATCAAAACTAATTTACACACCTCCACGTCATAAAAAAAAAAAAAAAAAAAAAATTAACACTCCCTCCGTCTATTTTCTAATATCCTAAGTGATATTTACAATTTTTTTTTTTTTTTATGTAATTAGCTTTTTGGTTGTAAATTGTCAAAATAGCAATTCATTTTGTGTATACATATAAAAAAGATAAATAAAGGGTAAAAAAAATAAATTTTATGTATAAAAATAGAAAGAGGACAATCATTAAGAGAGTAATAAATAAATATTATTATTTTTAATTAATTATAAAATCCTAAAAACTTCTTTGAAAAGAATATATATAAATCATTCCCAAACTTCAAATCAAAGTTCTCAATTTTTGTATTACAATAAAAAAAATTAATTTTATATTTAAAAAATATATTAAATTTTTTATATTACATCAAAATATTTTTTAAAAGTTAAACTTCACAAACAAACACACCATAAATGATTTAGTAGAAATAAAACTTACACAACAAATCGAAAATCTAATTCCAATAAAACACATTGAAAAAACAATCAAACGTAAAAAAAAAAAAAAAGTTAAAAAAAATAAAATATATATATATATATATATATATATTGACGTGATTTGAATGAAAGTTGAAATAATGTGTGATTCCAATCGAATACAAACCGTATGCTATTTCTAGAGGGAATGCTCCAACGAGACTTCAATGGGATGATTACCCAAATTTTATCTTTTTATTTTATTTTTTATATAATTATGTGTTTTTTTCTAAAATACTCCCTCCGTCCTACAAAATAAGAGACTATTACCGTAGATACGAGAATTTAGATAAAGTATAATTAGTAAGTAATTAAGAAGTATATTAGTAAAAATAATTAATCCTTCCGTCCAGCTAGAAAGAATACATGTTTCTATTTTGGGACGTCCAATTACAAAGTAAACATTTCATTAAATACCTTACTTTTTTCCACAAATACCCCTACTTTACATCACATCATTACTTTTACACCAAAAAGCAAGGCAAAAATGTCATTACACTACTTTTAACTACCCACTATAATTAAAATACTATTATTTCTTAAACAACGCACCAAAAGTAATTGTATACTTTTTTTGTGGACGGAGGGAGTATTATTTAGTAAAAATAATTATATATATTAAGATTAGACAAGTAAATAGTTTAATTAAGATTAAAAAATTTAAAATTTAAAATGCGATTATAGTGCATAACTATATTTTCAAAAATAAAAAAGACAAGTTATGTGGGACGGACGAAAATAGAAAATAGATATGTTTGTTTATGTCTTTAAAATTGGATTAAATTGCATAATTATATTTTATATCTTTTTTTTTATTATTATTATTATTATGTTTGTTTATTACTATTCATTTTATTATTATTATTATGTTTGTTTACATTTAGCCTCGAAATTCGAAGGCTAATTTCAAAATACAAGCCTGTTGGAATAAAATGCAATTGTGTTTAAATGAAAAAATAAATAGATATGTTTGACTGTTTGAACGCCTTGTCCGAATCAGACACATATAAATTTTCATTACAGTTCACGTCAACATGTTCTGTTAGGGTGTGTTTGTTTGGGTGTTTGGATTTTGAGTTGGGATTTGAATAGTAAAAATTTTGAATTTAAATAGTTGTATGATGTGATATAAATAGGGTTTGATGTGATGTTTTGAATGTAAAATTGATTTTTAGTATAATATAAAAAATAAAAAATAGGTGTTTGATTTGATGTTTTTGGGGGGAAAAAATTGGATGAATAGTGGAAATCCACCAAAATCCTTCAAACAAACACAGCCTTAATTTCAACGGTGGAAGAGAAATAAAAATTTAATTTTTATGTAAAATTAATTTTGAATGGAACTAAAAAAAAATAAAAATGAATGTAATTGGTGCCATTATTATTATTATTTTTTCTAAAAAGAAAATAGCAATTCACTATTTAGATAAATAAAGCCCGAAATAGATAATATTTTAATTTAAATTTAATTTTTTAATATTTAAAACAAATTATTTTTTGTTAAAAGAATTAGTTAATTAAAGTTATTTATAATTTATAAGTATATTTTGAATGAACATATTTTACTAAGAACAGACTTATAACTATTGCTTTGTTTTTATGAAACAGAATGAGGTATACATGTGTATTAAAATTATATATTATCAAGAAATTTGGGAGTGTGTTTCTTTCAATTAATTTTTTTAAAATAAAATTGATTTAAGTTTGATATTAAAATAATACTTAACAGAATATTAATGAGAGAAAATATTTTTTCCTTTCGAAAAATACAGAGACAAAATAATAAAAAATTAAAAAATTTGAGATAAAAAACCGAACGTTTTGATAAAACAATCAAACAAGTTTGAAAGAAAATATTACATACCTAAACTTAAAAGAGTAACTATTTTGTTGTCACACAAAATATTTATATCTCATTCAAATTTATAGTTATTTTTATATTTTTTTAAATTATTAAAAATATTCCCAAGAGAAAGAGTATTTTTTAAGTATAAAATAAAAATCACAATATATTACAAATAATTTAAAACTTTCACTTATTTATATTAGTATAATTATATTAAATTCAAATATAAAAATAAAATAATCTTTGCATCATAATAACAATAATTTTTTTTTTTGCCATAATCATATCATATGAATCTATATATGTGTTAAATCTTACTATAAGGAAACAAAATCAAAGAAAAAAAATATGAATAATCAGTTTTAATTTACCTTATATACACATCAAACATAGCCAATAAATTATTGCCACGTGTCACAACCACTAAATCGTGGCGCAATCACATCTGCGAACGAGGCCACGATATTCGACGGGTTAGGGAGGATCTTGCTATACTTGGCAGGTCCCTGGTGATCGAGACCCGACCCTTCCTGTTCCTATTTCTACCCCCTTCCCCCTCAAAGCATCTTCACCCTTTTCCCCATTAAACCCTAAATTGGAGTTGCAGCGAAGCTCCGAGTAATTCAATCTCGATATCATTGTCAGTATTTATGCCTCAAACGGAGATCTTCACCGGCGATTGTTTCAGATATCCATCCACATTCACAAACCGAATTCTGCGCCGGCGACGATGAGGTATTTCTTCGATCAGGCAAAGACGAAGAGCAACAGCGCCGGCGTCTCTCCGATGAAGATTCTCGACGCCGTGCGCGACTGGAAAGTCACTGGCCGGAGTCTCCTCCAGTCGTTGGACGATTTGACGACGGATTTCGAGCGGCGAGAGCAGAGTTTGGCTTCAGCGACCGAATCGATGGAGGCGAGGCTGAAGGATTTGGAGAAGAAGGAGAAGGAACTCGAGAAGAAGAAGACTGAATTGGTTTTGAAGGAGAAGGAACACGAGAAGAAGAAAACTGAATTGGCTTTGAAGGAGAAGGAACACGAGAAGAAGAAAACTGAATTGGCTTTGAAGGAGAAGGAACTCGAGAAGAAGAAAACTGAATTGGTTTCGAAGGAGAAGGAACACGAGAATAAGAAAACTGAATTGGTTTTGAAGGATAAGGAACAAGAGAACAAGAAAACTGAATTGGTTTCGAAGGAGAAGGAACACGAGAAGAAGAAAACTGAATTAGCCTTTCTGTCGAAAGATTCCACGAACAGTTTGAGATTGAAAGAGCAGAAATTAGATGAGCAGCTGAAGTCAGTGAGCACACACATCGATAGTTTGGAGAATTCCCGCAGGGAAGTGCAGAATTTGAAGCATTTGCAGTGTGAAAAGTTGAAGGAGATCGAGGAGAAGGTGAGAGAGGTTGAATTGATGAGGGTAGCCATGGAAGAAAGGATGGCAGAGATCGAGAGAGAATTCGATCGAAAATTGAGAGAATTAGCTCTGAAGGAGGAGTTCTTGGAAACTAAAAGGGCAGTGTTAGTAGGAGATGTTAAGCTTGCAGATGAGAGGTTTAGAGATGGGAAGAAGAAGGGATGGGGTTTAATGAAGAAGATGGAATCAGCATTGTGTTTGTTAGAAGGGACGCAGGCGACCATCGACGAGAAGTTGAAGAAGAGCGAATTGTGTGCCCGCGAAGGATTGATTGTGGTTCTTGATGAAGCCGAACTGATTGGTAGGCAGTTGGAGAAGCATTTTACAGAGCTTGAGAGGATATCGAAAGAGGATGAAAGGGAAAGGCGAAATTCGGGTATTGATCAGGAAAAGCTTCTAAAGGAGATCAAACTGATGGATGTAAAAGTAGCTGAGCATCAGAAGTTAGGGGAGAAAATTATGGATCGTTTGGAGGAAGTGAGAGCTAAGAAGGTTACCGAAATGGTCGATTATGGCATGAATCGGGAATTGGTTGATCTACACTTGCAAGAACTTAAGAAGAGGGAGGAAGAATTTCATCTATACCAACGAGAAAGAGAAGAAGAACTTGTGTCGAAGGAGAAGAAGTTAAGGTCGATTATGGAAGAGTTTATCGACGGGAAATTCGATAAGCAGGAGATCAATGAGATGCTAAGGGAGAGGCTTGATTTAGTTTGGGGTTGTACTGAACCAGAAGTTTCGGTCGACTCGAAACAGGCTAAGGATGTGAGTCGATTGTTAGAAACGGCCATAAACAGCGAAAAGGATGCGAAATTGGTAGGTGACGATGTTTCGGAAGTTCTACGAGCATCGTCTGATCCAGCAAAGTTGGTTCTTGATGCAATGAAAGAGCTTTGCGTCTACAGAGCCATGAGAGCTGACAGGATGCTAAACCTAAGGAGAATCCGTATACTTTTATTACGTTGTCTCTCCAAAATGTCACGAAACATTAAGCCTTGTGTTCGACAAGCTGTGATTAGACTAGCAGAGAAGTGTGAGCCGAAAACTAGAAACTTCGACGAAAATCCCCTGCAGATGTTGGAATACTTACTTCTAATGGCTGCTTATAAGCTAAGATCCCCTTTTAATAACAATGATGTTTTGAGTTTCTTGAAGGCGATCGCCCAACACGAAGAAACGCCTGAGTTGTTTCTTATCCTCGGCCTCAGAGATAAAATCGAAGGTAATCCACTTCGATTTTTCTTTTTGATTTGTATGCATACTTTACTATACATTCTGTTTTTAGATAAATTGATTTTTTTTGTGAGTTACAAAAATAATATTTTGTGTTAGAATAGTCCACTTTCTTATTAGTTGATGATACTCCCTCCGTTTGTACGGAGATTTCAGTATTATATTGTAAATTGGAAGGATATTTGGACCAAAATGGAAAAATAGATAGATGGTTAAGGGATGCAGATAGTATATTATATTAATGTTGGTGTATATTTGTATTTTTTTAATAATATTTACGGGGAATTGTTCTATTGAAAAATGCTGAGTGAACAGACTCTATGTATGCATTAGATTCATTGCTTATGTGCTATTGAATTGTTTGCCAGAGTTCGTGCAGAATCTCATAAACGAGAAGCGATATCTTCTTGCAAGTAGTTACATAAAATACTTTGAGGTTGAGAGGGTGTTTCCTCAAACAGCTGTGATCGATTATTACGTGAAGCATGTGAAGATTTTAGGGAAGGTGAAGCTGAACGACCCTTTCGAGGCACAAGTATGCGACAATTATGATTTATTCGTCTCTTTTAATTAGGAATAGAACAAAGCAAATGACTTTCTGCTTATTTATATTGTGTTTGATATCAGCTCAAGGCTAGTTTTGAGGAGATACGAAATCTGCGTCAAGCAATCGAGCATATTGTGAAGCATGGGCTGCAATACGCGTATGCACCCGAACTCCTTATGGAAAGGATAGGGCAGTTAGAGCAGAATCTGAAGTGCATGGGGAAAGGGCTCGTGATATCATTGTCGCCGGATGTAAATAAACCGCATGTAAATAAACCGCGAATGGGTTGCGAAAACTTGGCAGGATTACAGAATGCGAGTGGAAGAATTGGAAGAATGGAACAAGAAAACCAGGACAACGTAGATAAAGAAGATTTGGAATGGAAGTACCAGAGTTGGGAAAGTAGACCAAAAAAGTGTCGAGCCCCTACGCCACAAGAGAAGAAGAACGCGCGATTCAGACGACCAAACAAGAAACGTTGCAGGGATTGGTCGTTTCATGGTCGGTCTTAGGATCATTATGGGAAGAGGTAGTAGGGCTAGGATAGCAGCGATTTTGGGTCGATAAGAGATTGGTAACTTGTATTCTCGTTGTTGCCCGGCCGAAAGAATTCTTCCGGGGCTCAGCTGCTGCTGCATTCTTGGCCTTGGTTGGATAGGATTTTGAGTTAGAATGAGCTTGAATTTGGTTTCCTGCTCATGATCTTTTTGTTAGGAGGAGTTGGATCTTGTGGCTCTTGTGGATATTGTAGTTATGAAGTTGGTGCAAGCATAAAGAAGCCTTTTGTCATTTAAAGGGAGGTACGTTTATATTTTATTTATGATATGAAAAGCCGCAGTCGCTATTATTTGAATATCTTCTTCGAGGAGTTGAAGGGTTTGAACACAGTCACGAGTCTATCCTCACACCACTTGGCTATTCTTTAATTAGGGATGTCAATGAGACGGATTTGGGAAGGGTTCTACTAGGCATGAGACCCGAGGTGTTGGGTGTTTGAACAAGATTACGAGTCAATCCTCACACCACTCAATCTTACCGTAATTAAGGATGTCAACGGAGCGGGTTTGGGATAGGCCTGACACCCATCCTGCTGAATATATTAGGCTTCAGGATTCACTTCGGACCTGTTATTGTTTAAAATTTAAAATCTACAACCTACCTCGAATTTACCCAAGGTTAAAATTTAAAAAACAATCTGCCCTGAAGGATATTTTTAGACTTGAATGGGGCTAACTCGTCTCATTTGACATCCTTATCAGTAATATGTTGCAAAAAATTCTGATAAACTTCATCTATCTAATTGGGGTCTTGATATGATTCAACCGCTATTGTGGTTAGTCATTTGATTATAGTATTTTTTGTCCATGTGGTTGTGTCAGTCCTAATAAGATACTTATGTTCATCTATATCGTATTTATGGTTATGAGATAAAGCATAAAGTTTTAGGTTTTAGAATCCTATCTTTAAACAGTTGCGTACTTTTCGTCACATTACATTTTGGAAGACTTATGTTTCTTTAATATGTTATATTCATAGATGATTATTCACATTTTATATGGATATATTTTTTGAAACACTTGATATATTCAAATTATTAGAACTCAGTTTTCATATTTTATATAGACCCTGATAATAGACTTAATATAACAATTTTACCTAATTAAACTTTTTTTCTATTCAGGGTGTGTTTGTTTAGGGGGTTTGGATTTTGAGTTGGGATTTAAATAGTAAAAATTTTGAATTTGAATAGTTGTATAATGTGATATAAATAGGCTTTGATGTGATGTTTTGAATGTAAAATTGATTTTTAGTACTCCCTCCGTCCCAGAAGAAGCGTCTTGTTGGGAGTTGGCACGGGAATTAAGGAATAATAGTATTTAATTGAAAGTGGGTATAAAATAGAATGTAAAAGACTAAAATGTCTTTACTTTTTGTATTTTAGATACTGTTTGTGCGACTCTTTTGTCTACTTTTTGTCCTGATAGGTTCTTGGTGGAAGTTGCCCTTACTTTTGTCTATACTATAAATCGTCTTCAATTATCTGTCCTCCGTAATGTTACCCTTTTGAACATCAACTTGGTATTAGAATTTATTTTTCTAAGGAAGTAAATACAGTCGGCTAACTCCACTCCCAAGCAACCTTATTTTTCAACAAATTCGTCAACGGCGTCGCCCTCGCCGAGTATCCCGTAATGAACCATCAATAGTAGTAGTTCACCAACTCAAGGAAAGACCAAAGCTCGGAGACGTTCTTAGGCGGTTCCACTCAATCATCGTCTGCACCTTCTTTGCATCAATTAGGATCTTGCCATGTTTCACCTTGTGCCCAAGGAACATTACATCCGTTTGCGCAAACGAGCACTTCTCCAACTTCACGTACAACTCGTTCTCCCCCAAGGCTCAGAATACAAACCACAAGTGTTTGGCATGTTCGTTCAAGGACTCGTTACAGATGACTATATTGTCACGGATTGACATTACTGCCCTAGGTTCTCAGCCATAGTCTGTTTCATGTAAGCGAGTCAATGTCCTGTACAGTTGATTGATGACATATGTCTTGGTGCAGGTACGTGTTCCATATTATTCTCCCATACTGTATAGTATATCCCGAGCGTATTGTGCACATGTGGCGGCTAGTCTGGGCCTCAGCGCGGGCGTGACCTAAGCGCCGGACGTGTCAACTTCCGGATACGCTACAATATCATCTAAATACACCACAACAAACTTATCCAAGAACGGGTGAAATATTTTGTTCATCAAAGTGCAAAATGTAGCACAGGTGCATTAGTTAGGCCAAATGACATAACAAAAAACTCAAATGAGCCGTACCTCATCACACAAGTAGCATTCGGCTCGTCACATTTCGCAATCTGGACTTGCCAATATCCCAATCGCAAGTCTAATTTTGAGAACCACTAGGCTTTCTCAAAGCGATCGAACAAGTCTGCTACCAACGGTATCGGGTACTTGTTCTTTATCGTCACTTTATTTAGCGTTCGATAGTCGATATACATCCGTAGGCTCCCATCTTACTTCTTTTGAAACAACATTGCCCTACTTCTATTTAATACTATAAATCGTCTTCAATCATTTGTCATACATAATGTTATCCTTTTGAACTTCCACGTAGTATCAGAATCTACTTTTCTAAGAAAATAAACATAGTCTCTACTAACTCACGTTTCTTTAGGTATATTCAACCTAGTATGTACCCGAATGTTTTTCAATTTTGAGATCCTATTTTGTTAGTCTTTTATTTTTTATTCTATAGTGTCAACAAAGCTATTCGCCAGCAATTGTTCGTCCGTCAAATTCTTTCCTTTTCCTTTTTTTTTTTTTGTTAATTGTGTTTGATCCTTTGATCATTTGTTGTGATTCAATAGAAAGCCCTATTTCCGATTGTTTTGAAAGTTTCGGTTCCGTTGAGAGTCTCTCTTTTCCGACTCTATTAAAAGTAGTCATGTTTTTTACTCTATTTGTAAGCCTCATTTCGACTCTGCCATGGTAGACGATTTAGTTACAAATCATGTTGTTTATACGACACCACTTAGTTTGAAAAAATATTTAGTTATTTAATTTTAGATTAGATTTAATTTTATCCATTATGTTAGATTGTTATGATCTAAGTCTATTGAATCAAATATCAAAGTATTTATAAGTCTATCATTATAAATATAATGCAATGTGTTCTTCACAAAAAATTTCATAGACACTGGTATGATTTTACAAAAAAATTTCTTCTAAAGTATAAAATACTTCTTATAGTGAAAACATTAGAAGAAATATAATTAATGAATAATTAAAAAGAATATTATGATATAATATAAATAATTATAGATTAAAATTAAAATAATTAAATAATTTAATTAAAATTTAAAAAAAAAAACTATAAAATTTAATATATGATTAAAATATATAACCATTTTTTAAAAAATAAAAAAAATTATGTAAAATATATATATTTTATGTGAGACAAAAAGAGTATATACTTGTATATCATCATACCAAAGTCTTGTATACTGATGTTTGGTATGCATACCAATACTTTTATGGGTATGCCATAACCTTCCTATATAGTCAAAATTGTACTTTTTATAATTTTATTTTTTTTTTACTACGTAAATTTTATAAATCTATATAAATATATCAAGTTTTGGGAATGACTAGAATGTTAATTGGACCCCAAAAAAAAAAAAAAAATACTCCCTCCGTCCGCAAATTAATCCACAAACTAATGTCCTATCTGGATGTCTTGCCCTATTTTCTTTTTTAAACACAAATTTTACATTTTTACCCTTCACTCATTTATTACTTTTAATCTCTACTATATAATTAAGGACAAATTTGTCAATTTATAACAGAAAATGACCTAAAAAACCGTGCAAATATACTTTAAGACAATAGAAATTAGACGGAGAAAGTACATAATTTCAAAGCACATGTGATAGTGCTTTGGTAACTATTATCATATATAATCAAATTCATATACTGTATTTATATTTATATAATATTGTACATATATATATTTTTTAATATAATATGTACATAATATTGTACATATTGTTTCTATGTATTATAGTATTTGACATGCTGCCAGCATCATGCTAAAAATTACTAAATCAACGCTGTAAAAACTGTATATTTTATCCTCCAAAATATCATATTCAAACAAACGAAATGGGATTATTGCTATTATATCATAAAATCACCCAACCGAAACCCACAAAGGAGTAAGAACGGCAAAAGCAATTTCATATCAAAATCAACTGAGGGATCAAAAAAGTTAAAAAATAAAAATAAAGATTAATCCCCAAACAGAGATGAAAAGCAGCAAATTCTCTGGAAATTATTGGAAGAAATAAGATCAATGAACGGTAACCCCTCACCACACCATATTTCCAATGAACAGACAGACCCGACTAATAATCCCAACCCGGCGCAGTCCGACTCCCAACTCCATAGACCATTCATTTTTTTTCAGGCAGCAAAAATGATAAGCATACATATTAAAAAAAAAAAAAAAAACAAAAAAAACAGAGCATTTAAGTCTGTAAAAGCGATTGAATCGTACCTAAGCTTTGTGATTTCTTGCGATTTCATCGACATCAAGTTCAACTTCTAGAACAGGTGAATCCTCCTTGGCGCTCGAAGGACTGCAAGAACGTTGAACTCAATTAAGTGAGATAATAATAAGGTCGTTTGTTGGAGTTTGTATAACTGTTTTTACCTGTTTTCCACCGGGCCATGATCCACAGTACTTCGCAGACAATATATGACTCTGCCAACGATGTAGGATGACATGGCAACGGGGCCAAATGTTCGACTGTCATAGGCTTCCTGATATAGGGAAGGGAAAATGATAACATTTGAAGAGAGAACAATGCTATACTTATTGTGCTATAGTTTATAATCATTTTTCCAAAGCGTAACCAAGCTGAAGAAAGAATCGTGTGTTTATATTATTAAAGCATGTACCACGGGCTTTAGTCTTTCGTTGTCAGCCAATACCCAACACTGATCCTTTTCAAGAACGAAGGGCTCGTCATTTTTATCGTCAGATACCATTTCGTATCCTTCGATTGCTGCTAATCTTCGTACGAGTCGATTGCTTGAGTTCACAGGGTCTTTTAGTAGTACCACATCTCCAACATTAACAGTCCTACGACAAAGACAGGTGATCAAAATATATATATATATATATATAAATATATATATATAGAAAACCAAAGAAAAAAACATATGCCTCTTCAAGCACAAAAACCGGAGATCTTAAAGAACAGCTAAACCTAGAGAGGTGTAAATGTATAATCCAACCCCTAGTGTCAGTTTGAGCTATAGAAGGGAAAATAACGCTACAGTCGACTTCTGCCTTAAGGATATCCTAAATAATTGCTGCGCCACCAGAAAACACTAATCTCTATGAAGTGTGTGTGTCAATTTCAGGTACCTTCAAGCCACTAAGAGTAAATGTAAGGCCAAGGCAGAGCAGATATATCAAACCCTTCCTATATTTAATATTCTATTGTTAATATAAATCACCAGAACTTGAAACCTTTTGGCTATGTTTTCTGCAAGTTTTTAGGTCCACGGATATGAGCAAATAATAAAACTCCTAACATACAATAACCCATAATATTTTTGGTCTTTATCATCTCATGATCTCAATATGCACGAACAAAATAATTTTCCCAGCCCTTTTATCTAAAACTCAAATAAATGAATAAGTAAATCATTTGACACAAACCAGTGAACTAATTAAAATCACACTTACAGAGTAACGATTTTTTACCCGAGAAATCTCTCACACTAGACAATATATATTATTTCTAACAAGGCTAGAATAGCAATAAAACAAGGTCATTGAAGTTCAATGTTTCTAATGCCGGACCAAAAAGAGAAATTTATAAGCTTAATTTCAAAATTGTCAATAAAGTTGGCCAAACCCTCCGTCAAGTAAAAATTAATGAAATGCAAACAACATTGAGAGATCATGAATTTCAACAAATGCTAATAAAAAAAGGGATGTTATTGTTAAGGAAAATCAAGAAAAAAGAGGAAATCTTCAATAACCAAGGTTAAAAAGAAAAGTATGAAAGCCATACTCAGGATGCGGCATTGGAATTTTGCGAACTAGAAGAGTTCCAGTCAATGCTGCACACATTGGGGCCAACTTTTCTTCCTTGTTGCAGTGCAAGAACGTCAACCTTCCTTGGAGTATAGTTCTCCAAATGCTATGAAGAAGTTGAGTATCCCCAATTTGCCCTTGAATGTAAGCCTGTAATCATGCAAAAGGATTAATGTATAACAAATGAAACGAAACAGCCAGACATCCAGTACTGCAGTAAAATGATGTAAGCGAATGTTAGCGTAAAGAATGAAACAATAGTCAAACCAACTTGCAGGTTTGAGCTGGATCTCCGTCGAATTCATACTCAATTGAGCTAACTTGAAACCTCAAAGATGACACTGGACATTTTACTAGTTTTAGATTGCAGTTTATGAAATATTGTGTAAAATCATTGATAATCATTTACATCCTAATATAAACATATGTATGAAATATTAACAACCCGAATTCCTTATAATATTGAAACCTCGATCACCACCATTCTGGTTCTGACCTAAAATAAGCAACTATTTCTAATTTTTAGGTCTTAAGTAATGCATTATAACATCCAATATACACAGTTTTTACAGTTCTTCAGGAAATAATTCAGAATAGAGGATCCCCAACAAAAAGAATGAAGAATCAAAACCATTCTAATGAAAATTAAAAGCCATAAAACTTTAGAAGACAATGTAGTAGCATCCTGCAAGAAAATGTAACGAAGCACTAAACAACTACAACAACTACCTGAAAGCATGAACAAATAAAAGTGATCATCGTGTAGCCAATAGAACCTGATTTCATCTTCAAAACAGGGTTTGATCTTTCTAAAAATTAATTCAAAGTGATCAATTTGTATCATAAACTATATACGGGTGAGTAAATGTGTTTTCCTATTTTTATAAATGCCCGTTCACAAGTTCAGAGATGGTGCAAGGACCCTAACCATCATCATGAATCCAAATTTCTTAATACCAGATACTCTTAAAACATTTTTTATTGTATGAAGAGAAAGATCATTCGATTCTCGAGATCATGAAATCAAAACAGCACTGAGGTCTCAATCCACCAAAATCCTCCAAATCGCAAACCAGAACATATAAAATAATCGCCCATAAACGATAGAAACCTAAAACGCCCAATCTAAACCGCTTCAAGAATCAAGGAATGGCAAGAAGAAGGAAAAAAAAGTCTGTACAATTCTATAACCCTAAAAAGGAAGATTACCTTACGGGTTATGGAGGCAGCGTAGTCGACCTTGTTGTTAATGTAACGAAACCATGTTGAGACTCCAACCATTGCAAATTCAATTTCCCGACTATGCCTTCAATGTCGCCAAGTCTTATAAGTTTCCAAGCGCATTCGAAAACCTGGGGGAAAATTATACACGACTCCACGACGGAGTTTTCTTTTACACGGCTCATGTTTTCTACTATTGTCGCATTTCTAATGCTTCAACCTCCAAAACACGCTTTTTCTTGTAAATCTCTTCATCGGCTCTCATCTAATAAAGTGCTATACTAGTAGCATTAAATATGAAAACCTAACACAGATATTCAATAGTGACAAATAATTTACTCAATATAAATTTGACAACGATTCCTATGCTGATATACTACAATATAACAGTACATGATGTGGCCGACAGTGCATATATTATCATATAAAAACAGATAATACACTATAAATAAAAAATAAAAATAAAAATAAAAGACGGAGAAATAGAAAAGCAATACATGACATTGCTACGATTGATTTCAACATAATACATTTTTTAATACAAAATATTTATATATTTTTATCTAACGCATTATGTGTTGTGTTAAATACTTTAAATTAATATCACGAAATAAGAGAAGCTGGAAACTGCCAGACACCTATGATTATTTGAAGCAAATTCAGGATAATGTGTATGTTGTGCAATCAACCTAATGAACCAACCCCGGCCCGCATCAAGGTTCCTAAGAATAAGACTATATGAATCCCATATTCTCTATTATGCAAGCAATATTAGTTTTATCCAACCAAAAGTGTGCAACCAAGCAAAATGTTAAAGAGTTCTGTGAACTTATTCAGCTTACAGTGTGCAGCCAAGCCAAGCAATGTTAAGAGTTCTGTGAATCTAATCATCTTCTGTCTCTCTACCGTATCCTCGCACCGGGCGGGGCTGTGTTATGCTCTTTTGATACCTTTCCAGTTCATCCAAATCGAGTTCAACTTCTAAGAGGGCTGCATCTTCCTTCATGCTTTCAGCCCTGAAAGAAAGAGGGAATATCAGAGTGAGTGATCACATGCACAATTTTGCATTACCTGTTACGGATATTTCGGCAGATTTTTCATAGCTACTAACGAGTTCTCCACAGGCCCGTGATCTGTAGAGCTCCGAAACCAGTATATGGCTCTCCCAATAGTTTTGTCGTTTATTATAAGCCGACCCAATGTTCGGCTATCGAGTGTTTCCTGACGAATACCAACAAGAGGCAAAAAAATGTATAAAATGGCTGCTTAATTGAAAATACATGTTTCCTAAAGTATCTATAAATCTGGTTCAATTGATTAAACTTTGTGGCTGTAATGGAAGTGGATCAGGTGTTTTCAATCAAATTTTCTATTGCATCTCTAGTAGAAATTTCCTTTGAAAAATAAAAAATAACTGTAACAAGCTCAATCAAGGCTTCCTTGTAAAGATCTAGGCCTGTCAATGTTTCGAATCCGCTAGATTTTTTAAATTGTTCACCTGGTTCGACTTGATTCCAGTTTAGGTCATGAATCCGGATTCAAATTAAGGTCGATGTATAAATTCCATCAATATTTGAAAAAAATCCAACAATTAAATTTAATTGATGGGTATTTTCAATTCATTCCTATAGGTTTATCAAAACTAGAAATATAAGATCCAAAATCATATAAAAAGGATTCGGGTTCGGATATGGCCCAAATCCATTTGAGGTTCCGGATCCGGAAAAATTATATATAGGAGCTAATTGACAGGCATATAAGGATCCCATCGTGAACATATAACTTAAAAGGCACATACCTCGGGCTTTTTGTTGTCGGTAATTACCCAGAAATGGTGTTTTTCAAGGTAGAAAGGGTCTTCACTTCCATCTGTACATATCATCAACCGTTCTCCAAGAGCAGCAACTCTACTTACAGAGTCAGAGGACATGCGCATGACTATGACATCTCCAACACGAATCCTTCTATTAAAAGACGTCGATAAGTTAATCAGAAACCAGATCACAGACAGCAGCTAACAATTACTTTCTTCATTTTATCATAAATGTTTATATGGGTAGTAAATTGACTTCTGGATTGATTCACCAGTGCATTTAAAATCTGTAGGATAAAAATGTCTCCTTTAGTTCTATGAAAAGGGTTTTCTCTAATATTCTATTTCTATGAAAATAGTTTACTAGCTCAAACTCAGCAATGCACAAAGTAATTAGAAGTCACAAATCCAATCCAATGAATTATTATAAAGAAGATGATAGAGAGAAAATCAGACAACTTCAGTGATCCGTTGGGAGTTGTATAGTGCAAATCGTACCTATTATCTACCCTTGGAAGTTTTCGAACAAGAAGAGTTCCACCTAGCATCCCTCCAATATCTTCCTTTTTATCAAAATGAAAGTCGGTCAATCGAGATCGGAATAGATATGAACCGAAGGTTCCTAGAATATGAGGTTTAACTATTTGACTAGTTGCAACGTCCTGCAATCATAGAAATGAATGTCTCATGAATGTGATGTAACCAAAATCATAAGAATGAACATATGTTATATCCTCCGGCTCCGAGGATCCCATTAAAGTATAGTAAAAGCCATCACACATTATATATACATGTGTAAGTGCGCGCGTGTATATATATATACATGAAGCTCTGAAATGCACTGCGCTGCAAATCTGGATACAAGAACGAATTCTGAAAGCATTTTATCCATTCATATTTATCAGAGTAAAAGAATCTTAACCAACACGAACAGAGGAGTTTGAAGAAAAAGAAGAAAAGATCTGATACATAAGAATGGCAAACAAAACAATAAGAACCAAGTTAGGTTGAAGTAGATGCTGTCTTATTATCTCATACCCCACCTGTAACGTTCGGTTTCATGTTTCCTATAACATGGAGAAATGCTAACTATATTTTTCACATTTACCATCACAAAAACCTTACGTTTAACCATTTGACCCCTGATGAGTCAAGCAAAAGTTTCTGGACGGCACATTTTCTTTATTACCTCAACAGGCAAACTACTTTGAGATCAGCAATGTGTAAGGTCAAAAATAGCCATCTAGAGCATGGATATCAATTTAGAGCAAGCTTCTTCAAATTAAAATGGAGCACAAAATCACAAGAACTGTGCGTAATGTTTCAATATGGCTACCGAAAAATCGAAATAAAGAAAATAAAGAGCTAGGCAGAGACAAGAAAAATAGCTTGCAATGTGTTGTCTATAGCTAGTCATCAAAAACTTAACATGAAGAACACAGAGCATCACACTAAATCCATAAATCAAATAAAAAATGGAATTGGCAGCAGCAAACACATTTCAAACTTCGAATAAACAACATTAAGAAAGAAGTAAAACGTACAAATCGAAGAAAAAAAAATAAAAATTCCGCGAACAGAAGCAGCACATGCGCATCTCTTCGAAATCTGAAGAATGATATGAAAATTCATGAGAACTGTAGTAGGAATAAAGCATTACCCTATAAATGCCGGTGAGAGCGTAATCTAATCTGAGAAAAAAGTAGCGACACCACGTTAGGAACGAAACCATTATTCCAAAGTTGAGCTCTCACCAAATGCTTGCACTTCCTGATTCTCTTCTCCCTTGCTTCTTCTGCCTGATCGTTCGTTGGCCAGAGGATTTTGGCTTCTCTACTTCATCCCGCCATGTGCAAATTGAAACTAAGTTGAAACAAGCAGTAATATATATATACACACACAAATATATACATACATAGACGGTTATTTTCTCTCTCTCTCTCTCTCTCTCCAATTAAATTTTGTAGAGCTCTCGGATCGAATTTAACATCGGACCGGGTCGGGTCGGAAATGGGTCGGACCGATTCGCTACCTATGGGTCTAGGGTAGTCCCGGATCTAAAATATTTCCTATTTTGAAGTGAATTAATTAATTAAGACTAAGATACATTTTGACCAGTAAGAGTAGGAAAAGTTTACGACGCCAGGGAATAAATAAATCCACACCGTTCGTGGTAAGAACGCGCATAGTGGACGGTGCAGATCTTCCAGGCGTTAAACTCCATGGATCTCCAAATATCCGTACTCGGCGACGCCACGCGTACGGCGTATATCTGTCCCATCATCAACCAGATTTTTCCACAATCACTTTTCACAGAATCGTCAATACCCAAAATTCGATCGAACAATCGCAGGAAGAAGTCGAGGAGAAATCTCATGGAGAAATTGGATTTATCGAAGCTGAAGCTGGCGGGGGAGCGGTTGAAGACGAGCGGCGCGCAGATGGGGAGAACAATCAGCTCTAAAATGAAGGAAATCCTGCAAGCAGCCACACCGGAGTCGAAAGTCGTAGACGAGGCCACATCGGAGCGCATGGAGGAGCCAAACTGGGGGCTGAATCTCCGCATTTGCGCCATGATCAGTCGAGAGGAATACGACGGTGCTGAGATTGTGAAGGCGATTAAGAAGAAGCTGGTCCTCGGGAAGAATCCTGTGGTCCAGAGCTTAAGCCTCGATTTGCTGGAAGCCTGCACTTCGAATTGCGAGAAAGTGTTCTCCGAGGTGGCGTCGGAGAAGGTGCTCGAGGATATGGTGAAGCTGATTGAAGATCCGAGGACGGATCACGGAGTTAGGGTTAGGGCGATGCAGCTGATTAGGGCTTGGGGAGAGTCAGAGGATCTCGAGTACCTACCCATTTTTCATCAGACATACATGGTTTGTTGTCTTCTTCTCTTTCCTTTCAACCATGGTTGCTTAGTTTAGCTTTAGACTCCATGAATTCCTGAAATCTGAGTTTTAACTCGTTATTGAGCTTGATCGAATTCATCATTCCTTAATATTTTCTGCTCATGTCTAAGAATGGAGTAGCAACCTGTTTGAATAGTCATTGTTAATGGAGTCAGGTTCCATATATATTTGTGTTTTGTTAATAAAGAACAAACTAAGTCCCACGTCAGAAGAAACATATAATTCGTTATAAGATAACGAGTTGCCCCAATCACAACACATGACTTGTGTAAAAGCTACTGTATTGTGCTAGCGTTGAATCGGGGATGATGGATACATAAATGTATTATGCAATGAGAGGAATTTCGAATGGTTCGAAGTTCAAATGCTATGAAAGTTTTATCTGTGTTTGACTATGATTCTGTTCAGAGTTCTGTTTGGGGTTGATTTGAGTTTTATTTGAGTTTGAGTCTGATTCGATTCAGAGTCTATTTGCGTTTAGGTATGTCTATCTTTGAACTTTTTTGTCAAACTCAAGTGATAACGATTTCGAAGTTCAAATGCCATGAAGGCTCCCTATGTGTTGTCGCCGTTAATCAGGGGTTTCTTTCTGCGTATGAAGCTAGTTTTTGCTTTGGTCCACTAAATCATCTGCTTATTATCGAATCTTATAAAGATTCGGTGTATCTATGAGATGATCGTTTCCTCTCTTCCGTAATATCTTTACATGTGTTCTTATGGCTATTCAATTTAAACTTTGGTTTTTCTTCCTGGGAAAGTAAAGTGAAATGATGGCTTGAAAAATTCTGCATAATCGGAAAACTATGGTTCAATTGAGGATACAAATGCTTACTTTATTTGGGTAATTTTTGCAGCTCATGAAATCGAGAGAAATTCCTCCACCCCAACATGATGGAAGTGTACCTTCTGCGCCGCACAACCTGGAGTCTTATCTTGGTCAAGAGCAAATTGCACCTCCTGAGAGATATCCTATTCCGATAGCAGGTTCAGAGAACAATGAAGATGCCACTTTCATCGGTTATGGATTTCAATCAATTGAAGAGAAGAAAGAGATTCTTGTTGTGGCCCGAAATAGTCTTGATATTCTATCAAGCATATTGAATTCTGATGCTGAACCAAAATCCCTCAAGGTAAAATCTTCATATCCCAATTCTAACTTGTGAAATTTCTATGATTTGCGCAGAAATTATATCTCCGCTACTCATCAATAAATACAGGACAGATTCTTGTTAGTAGTATTTAATTTTCATCACTGTTTCGTAAATTCCTAGATCCAGGACAGAATAAATACAACCTTCCACGAAATCAATCATTTCATTTTTCATTCAAACTGGACTGTGAAAATTTGTTCATGATCGGATAAAATTTGTATTAAAGTGCTATTCTTGTTAGGAATTTTGTTTGTATTATGTTAGTATTTTATGGTTCTCTTTGGGGAGAAGTTAATGTTATTATCCTACTTTTATGTTAGTATGTTATGGTTCTGGTCTTATTTAAATAAGATCCTAACTATACATATCTATGGGACCCTAATATTTATGTTTTTGTTTTAATAGTTTTTAGGTTGAAATAGTTGTATAGAAAATAGGTATTAGATTCGATGTTTTAGAGGGAAAAATGATAACCCGAATAGTAAGAAAATCAACACACACACAAACAATACACCTTATTTCTCTTACATTTGAAACCTTCTGAGGTAGTCAACTTTCTCGATTACGCTACCCTATCTCATTGAAGATCCTGTGATCCAAATGGTCTGTTTGCTAATATCCAGATAAACTGTACCTGTATATTTGTCTAATAAAAGAAACAGGTAAATTGAAGGGTTTGTCGCTACTTTTTGTTTTGCAGGATGAACTGACAACAAGTATGTTGGAGAAATGCAAGCAATCTGTGCCTTCTGTTCAGAGAATTGTCGAAACCACATCTGATGATGAAGTAATGCTCTTCGATGCTCTAAACCTCCACGATGAGCTTCAGGCTGTCATTTCCAAGTATGATGAACTCGCTGCTGCACTGGAATCTGGACAGCCAAAAAGCCATAACGTCGAAGAAGAAGTTGCCGGTGACTCCAATACAACTGAATCTACTACTACTACTACTACTATGTCACAACTGAGTGGTGGGCACAGCACGACAGAAATGGCAAACTACACAAAAGTGAGCAGCAGTGAGCGAAATGTTGACGGAGATGGCGCTGATAAGAGCAGGTGAGTGGCATTGCTTTTCTAGGCAGGTTTGTAATTAATTATTAATGGTTTGAAAGGTTGTTTTCATTTTACATACATACATATTGATACATAGATGTTGGTATGGTATATATATATTCAACCTATGTAGGGAGGCAAGTTTGTTTTGATGGGGTGGATGGATGGATGGATCTAAACTAGTTAAACCTCTTTCTTTCTTTCTTTCTTGAGAATTATGGTGTTCTGTTGTGCTGTTTTTATCCCCAAATATCATTCCATTCAACAGATTTGATGTTGCTGTTGCTGTTGCTCCATACTTGTGTTTAGACCTGTTAACCAACCGAACGAATCGAATTTTACGTATTTGTGTTCCAATGTTAATGATTGTGAACAAGGTTCGCGTTGGTTCCTTAAGCATTCGAGCTTGTGTTCTTGATATAAGCTGGTTTGAGCTCATTTGGAAATTTGGACAGGGGATTGCACTTGTTTTTTTTGTTTTTTTTTTAATACTTCCTTCATCTATTCATTATTTTTCATTTATTTTTAGTACGGAGATTTTAAGATTTTATTAAAGTATAATCATATGAGATATATAAAGACAATTTTGATTTTAGTATTTTAAGATGTTATTAAAGTATAATACATATGAGATATGTTAAAGACAATTTTGTCTCGAAGTAGACAAATTAAAATAGAAAAATGAGAATTTTGAGGGCAAGGAGGAAATATATAATGTTTTATTTATTTATTTTTAATTAATAATTTTATATATTTATTTTTTTTACCTAATTTTTGCAGATAAAGTTTGGATTTGTTCGTTAATCGAACAAGTCTATTTATATTATTCAGCGGCTATGCTTATTTACTTAGCGCAAAAGCTTAAGTTGAATCGAGTTAGTTCACGTACGTCTTTGTTCATGAATTACGGAGTATTGTTCTTATTACATGGACTTGCAGCTGCTATTCATTATTACCTATTACTATTTTTATTGCATGGACTTGCCGCTGCTATTTTCCGTTACAGTGTCTAGTGTCATTTTTACTGGAGATATAAAAATTTAAATTTAGGAAAATTATAATTAGTAAATAATTAAAAATATATTAATAAAAAAATAATAATTTTATAATAAAAATAATTTTAAATTCAAATTAAGATAAATAATTAGTATAATTAAAATTTAAAAAATTATAAATAAAAAATTTTTAAACAGAGATTAATATGTACAATTTTTTTCAAAAAAAATGAAAATAACAGGATAAATACAATATACATAAATAGAAATGTGAATACGATAAGTGAGACGGAATAAGTATTTTTTATGGATGTATTTGTTTGAAAGATTTTGAAGAATTTCTACTGTTCAACAAATTTTTATTTTTAAAAATATCCAATCAAATATTTTTTTTTATAATTTTTTATATTATATTAAAAATTTATTTTACTATTACATAAAATACTTATATTAAGTGATACAATATTAATAGGGATAATTTTATATTTTTGTTCTTGAGGAGTACTATTATAAATATAATATTAATATTAAAAAAATTACATTTAAAAAGCGAATGAACGTCTTACTTAAGGATGAAAAGAACATACAGTATGGCATAGAAAATTAATTTCATATTTAAAATATTATATCAATCAAATAATTATTTTAAATATTAGTATTATATTGCGATTGTAAAAAATTAAATTAACCTTAAAAGAGTATTTACTCCATTCGTCCAATTGAAAGATTTTTTCAACTTACTTTATATTATATAAATATCGTTATTTTTATATCACACAGTACTCACGGGGTATTTTCGTACTAATATTAAAAAATTTACGAAACTATAAACTTACAGGAACGGAGCGAATATAATATTAAATTGTAACGGGGCTCAAAAAGTATCATATTTATACTTTATTAAAAAAAAAAAAATGTGCAGAGATAATAATATTTATTAGAATTTAAAATTATATCAAAAATTAAAAAATCAAAATAAAACACCCAAATATTAAAGCGGTAAAGAAAATGCACCTTAATAATAAAGCCAAGGCACCAGAAACAGCATCAGAGCCTGTTTACTGTACTGCACTGTAGCATCCTTCCAAAGACACCTGCCCCTCCACAAGGCCCTTATGTGTAAGCTCATAAGACCTCACCCTCCATGCACACCGCAACATGGCCACCCCTACCCACGTGTCACCCCCGCACCCTCCATCTCCCACTATAAATACCACCAGTTTCCACTCGCCGCTTCACACCCACAATCAATTGATCAAATCAAAATCAAACACATCAGTAAGTAGAGAGTTGTTTGTTGTTACCATTCTTGGCCGCCATGACCAAGCTCTGCTGCTTCCCAGTGCTGACCCTCCTCTTCCTGCTCAGCTTCACCTCTGCAATTCGAGAACGAGAACAGGGGAGATGGCAGGAGGGTAGCTGCCAACTCTCCAGCATCGATGCTAGGGAACCTTCCTACAGTCTCCAGGCTGAAGGAGGCGTCACTGAGTTCTGGGACTACAACAATGGCGAATCCCAGTGCGCCGGCGTCTCCATCCGCCGCCACCGGATTCAGCCTAGAGGTCTCCTCCTGCCGCTCTTCCACAACGCCCCTGTTGTTTTCTACGCTGTTCAAGGTAACACTGCTGATCATATGATAAAATCGATTGATCACTCAAAAAATAAGTCATATAATCCAATTGAATTGATGGTGGATACTTTAATGGTGATGATACAGGCAGGGGACTGTACGGAGTGCTGATTTCCGGTTGCCCTGAGACCTTCGAATACTCGCAGGAGGAAGAAGGCGAGAGAGGAAGAAGCCAGAGGTTCAGAGACAGGCACCAGAAGATCGAACAGTTCCGTGAGGGAGACTTTGTTGCTGTTCCTCAAGGCGCAGCTCACTGGATCTACAACGATGGCGATCAGGAGCTTGTTCTTGTTGTTTTCCACCACAATTCCAATGATGCCAACCAATTAGACCAAAATCCGAGGGTAATTGAACTGCTAAATCAAAATCCCTATCCATCAAAATCCTCAAAATTCAATACCCAAACTGATTCGATTCGCTGAAATTTTGTTCCACCAGTCGTTCTTACTCGCCGGAAATACAGAGAACGCGCAGCAGCGGCCACAATACCGGCGGGAGAAGAGCGCGCACGGCCAGCAAGAATTCGGAAACATTTTCAGAGGATTTGATCTTGAAATTCTGGCGGAAGCATTCGAGGTAGGTCAGAAGACGGCGAGTAAGCTGCAGAGTGAAGACGATAGCAGAGGCCACATTGTTTTGGCTGAGAAGAACCTTAAAGTAATCCGGCCGACTTACCGGCAAGAGGAGGAGGAGCGCCGCCGCGGTAATGGACTCGATGAGACTATTTGCACCGCCAAAATCAAAGAGAATCTCGACAAGCCTTCACGCGCCGACGTCTACAACCCACGCGCCGGGCGATTCTCCACCTTCAACAGCCAAACTCTCCCGATCCTCAACCTCATCCGCCTCAGCGCCGCCAGAGGAGTTCTCTACAAGGTAGAAACCCTAATTTCAAAAAAAAATCTACAAAATCGCAACAATTCCAAATCAAATCCCCAAATTAACAACGCAATCACTTCCAATCGAATGGAAACAACATGAACTCACCTTAATTCAATCGACGATTCGCAGAACGGCATAATGGCTCCGCACTGGTACGTGAACGCCCACAGCACAATCTACGCGACGCGCGGCGACGCCAGAATGCAGATCGTGAACCACAGGGGACAGGCGGTGTTCGAAGGCCAGATCCGCGAGGGAGAGGTGGTGGTGGTGCCGCAGAACTTCGCCGTGGTAAAGAAGGCCGGCGAGAACGGATTCGAGTGGGTGGAGTTGAACACGAACGAGAACGCGATGATCAACACACTGAGCGGACGCACGTCGGCGATACGAGCTCTGCCGGTGGACGTGATAGCGAACGCGTACCAATTGCCGAGGGAGGAGGCGGCGAGGCTGAAACTCCAGCGGCAGGAGACGCTGATTTTCAGCGGCTCCGGCGAGAGGTCTGAGCGAGGAGAAAGAGGAAGAGTTGCATCTGCGTAAAACCGTAATTAGGGAGGGCTTTTTGGACAATAATAATAATATAATAATAATAATAATAATAATCACTGTGCATTTGTGCATGACTCTGTACTGTACGTATGTGTGTATATGCCATGCTGCATGTGATGTGAGTGAATAATAAGTCGCCTTGCGCTTTTAAATTTTTTTTTTTTTAAAAATCGATTTCCATATTACGGATTTTTTGCAAAATTTATTATTTATCAAATATTTTGTTCTCATTATTTTTCTATTATATTTTAAAATTAATTTTATATTTAAGTACTATTTATATCGTCTTAGTTATTTTTATTCAAAATATTTTTTACTATTCAATTCGATTTAAACGAATGAGTTGATCAAATTAATAATTTTACCCCTCAATACTTAATTTCAAATAAAATTAATTTTTACAAATCACTTCAAATATATATATCACTTTTGAAAAATCATTTGTTTTTTCAAAATCACTTAATGAATACTATAAAAACAATAATATTAATTAAAGTATAATTTTTATAAAGATCAAAATAATATATTTTATTAATACTACTAATTAGATTCTCCATTTTATTTTCAGTGTAATTTTCTGCACATAAAGAGTATTTTGTATTTATTTTTCCAATCAATACAATTATTGTCACTATTAAATTTCCAAAATATCTTTTACATAATTATGTAATTTTTATTTCTACTTCTACATTAAAATATAAATACACACTTAATTTTTTGTTTAATTAGGTAAAATAAAAATAAAAAATTAAAATACTGCAACATGATTTTTTCTTTTATTTTTATATTAAAACAAGTAAATTTTAAAAATTTAAAAATTTTCTAAAATACCCAACGATTTTATTATTTTTCGATTTTTATTAATATGTTCTAAACATAGACAATTTACTTGATATAAGAAAAAAGTAATATTTATATTCAATTAACAAAAAAAGAGTGCCACCCTTTTATTTCTCCTCATATATTACATGCATGCACGCATTATTAATTCAGGAAAAACGCACGCTAATTTTTCCTAGGTACAAGCATCAAAGCACAGGGTACCATCGTCTTCCCCACACTCTGATTCAGTCCCGCCTCTGCCGGCGCGGCGACATCAGAACGGTCTGGCCGCCGCTGTTCATCTTCAAGCTCCGCGCCTCCTCCGGCGACATCTTGTACGCGTTGGTCAGAACATCCACCGGCATCGCCCTCATCACCGAGGTATATCCCGCCGCCTCATTCCTCATCGGCCACCCCGACGTCTTGAACGACACCCACTCAAATCCGTCGTCTCCGGCACGCGCCGCCGACATGAAGTTCTGCGGCACCACGAACATGTCGCCCTCCTTCACCATGTCGCTCATCAGAATCTTCCCGTTGTTGTCCGCCACCTCCACCTGGGCGGCGCCGCCGGTCACGTAGACTACGCCGTGCCCATGCATGTTCCAACCGGGGCTCAATAAAGCGTTCTGCAAAATCCCTAAATTCAATCAATTAGGGTTTCTGAAATCCCCAATTCAGTCCATTAGGGTTTCTGAAATCCCCAATTGCTGTCGATTAGGGTTTCTGAAACACCCAAATTTCTGTAAATTAGGGTTTTGAGTTAAATCGGGGACGACGGAGAAGATGATCGAAGATAATTACAGGGAAGAGATTGCCTTTCTCGGCGCTCATGTCGATGTAATTAAGAATGGCGAGCTTGTTCCGGTCGACGACGTTGAGTTTTCCTGCCTGGCGGGAGGAGATGTCGGCGTCGCGGCGGTTGTCGAGGGCGGCGCGGATGGTCATCGAGCAGAAGGTTTCCTCCAATCCGTTGGAATTCCGGCGAGCCTCCTCGTCGGGGAAGACGAACTTCAACGGCTCCTTTGGGATGATGCTCAGACCCCTTTCCGCCTGCTCCTCCGCCTGCATCTTCTCTATGATTTCCGGCCGGACATTGAAAGCCTCCGCCAGAAGCTCCGCGTCGAAAGCCCGGAAAATGTTCCGGAAATTTTCCTCCTCCTGCTTTCCGGCCGCCGGAACTCCGCCGGCGAGGTAAAACGCCTTTAAAACAGGTCGATCGGAATCAGAGGTGAAAATTAATTAGGGTTTATAAATTAATTTTTAAAATGGTTAATTGATTACTCTGAAGTTCTGGTCGAGCTGATTGGAGCGGTGGCTGAGATCGTTGACGGAGACGGCGACGAGTTCTTCATCGCCGTCGTTGTAGCAGAAATGGACAGCTCCGGCGGGGATGGCGACGACGTCTCCTCGCCGGATGCGATGGACCTTCTGGTGCGAATCCCGGTCTCCTCGCCGAGATTCCGATCCGGCGGGGAGGTCGTGGAACGTCTCGGCGCAGCCTGGCAAGGCGACGCTGATGACCGCCTGGCCTGAAAATCATCGATCCGCCATTGATTCCGGCGATTAAAAGCTTGAGTTGCAGAAAAAAACATGGCTAATTAAAATTAAATTAATTACCTTTCTCGATGTAGATGAGACGAGGATAGGGCTGATAATTAGGCAAGGAGAGCGCCTTAGGTTTAAGCACATTTCTCATGGCGCCGACGCCGGCGCACTGGAATTGCTCCGATCGTTCGTCCCAGAGCTCGGTGGAGCCTCCCTCGGATCGGAAGCTCCGGCGGGGCTGGACGGCGTCGAGTCGGCGGAGGCGGCATTGGCGGGCCTCGGAGAGCGCGAGTGCGGCGGAGAGGAGGAGAGAGAAAGTGGAGAGAAGAAGGAGAAGTCTGAGATCCGCCATTGTTGAGACTCTGAGGAGTTTGGGGAGGTCCGGGACCAATTTATAGTGGAATTGTGCATGAAGAGTGGCAGAAGTTAGAAGACACCTTGCGGGTGAAGGAGATGAATAAATGCATACGTGGCAGAAACGAGGCTTCGTTTGCTGACACGTCGACATTCATGGAAAGCACACATCGCCCGCCCCACCGTGTACAACTTTCTATGCCTAACGTACAATTTCACTAAGATTCAAGAGTAATAATAAAAGTAGGTATGGGCGTTCGGATCTGACCCGAGAGATTGAATTCGGGTTAGTTTGAAAATTGGATCGCTATATATGGATTGAATTTAATACTTAAATTTCTATTTAAATAATATTTTATAAATATCTTTAAAAAATATAAAATATTTTTTAATTATTCAATTATTCAGTTTTTTTAAAAAAATATTATATTAAATACTCTATCCGTAAAATAATTATATTAAATACTTCATGTTTCATTTCAAAGTATATTTTTACTGTTTAAGTCCATTTTTTTTATTTATTTATTTTTTTTGTCTATAATTGAAAATTATTTTTAATAAAAAATCATATTTATATCTTTTTTTTTGTAAAAAAAAATTAAATTTTAAGTGCAAAAATTAAAAATACATTTTTACATGATGGAATATTAAATAGCAAAATTGTAGTTAAAAAAATAAAAAAATTTGTAATAAAATGTCTAGTGTAATATTTAAAAATAATAATAATAACAAAATTTTCAAAATTATTGCTTAAACGCTAAAGAGAACGAATATTACCTCTAGCAATATATCATCAAAATAGTAAAAATAAAAAAATAAAAAAATAAAAAATAAAAAAATGAAAATAGCATGAATTGATTGATGAATACATCTGCTGCAATTATCAACGTTGCAAAACTTGTAACAACATTGAAAATGGCGAAGAATTGCAATGTTCTTCCCTAACAGGAATCACGTACCCCTACAAAGCGAATCGACATCCCGTCCCGTCGAGGAACCGGTCGGTGTGCCATCCCTTCGACTGTAGCTCCAACAAGAACGGCTCCAACATGTCATTCATTCTTCCATACGCCTCCCGGATAGCATCTCCGCTCGGCAACTTCTCAACCTCAGCAGCGTACGCGGCAACAAGCCATCCCTTCAAAGCGTCTTCGCCGGTGGCGCTGCGCTCCAGTATCATGTCCGTCCACTTGATTCCCGGGCGCAGAATGAACTTCTCGCCGGGGAGGATTTCTTTAGCTCTGTGGAGCTCCGATGGCTTCAGAGCCGCGTGTAATGGCCTGCCCACCTTCACATTTCCGGCTTCTGCTATTAGGCGTCCCGGGAATATGAGATCTTCTTTGTATCTTAGATCAGCAGGGCTCGATACTCTGCCAGTCTGGTGGAGAATCGGTAAAGAGTTATAAGATTGTTCCTGGAAATGACGACGACGACTAATAATATATATATATATATCTGTACTTCAAATTTGATACTCCCCTTCGTGAGCTCGTTTGACGTATACAAGTTTTAAGAAAAATAGATAAAAATTGATAAAGAAAAAGTAGGTAAAAATATAAATTTTTTCTTTTTAGGTTAAAGAAAAAATAGAAAAAATTGGTATTTTTTTACTAAAAAAAAACGAAAAATAAATTTGGATGACAACTAAAAAAAGAAAAGTAAAAAAAAAAATTGAATGACATAGGAGAGTACTTCTTAAGGTAAAAAAGTAGACAAAATAGTATTTTTTTTAATTAAAAATGAAAACGAGTATAAATTTAAATTGACAACAAAAAAAAGTTAAATAAGAATAAATTTGGATGACTGACAGGTATAACCTTTAAAAACTCGGCAACAATCATGGCCGTTCGCTGCGGGTTTAGCGTGTTCACCGGAGTTGCCCTCATCTCTTCTCTGACACAGTATATGTGAACCAAGGAAAGCAACGGTCCAACAATAATCTACAAGATCGACGACAGGTGAAAAATCATCTCCGGTAGATATAAAATTCGGTAAATATGTTTTTAATCTACACAGTTTCGTAAAAATATTATTCTATATACACATAACAATAAAAATCAACAAAATACAAACAAAACATCATTTCTTATAATACTTTCACGATTCTTGATATCTAACATGAAAAACACCTAAAACTATAAGTACTAAACAAACAGGCTTTCCTGTATAAAATTTACATAAGTTTATTACATACATATCTATTCTATAAAAATTCAGAACATTCTATTTCCTAATTGCAATATTATTTCTAAATTTTTTGTAAAATGGTGGCGACAAACAATGCAGGAACGATGAATAATATCGCCAAATACGATAGAGTTCACCTTCATATTACTATAACCCTGAAAAGTTTAAGCCCATTGCTAGATGGCCGCAATCAATCGCCCAAAAGATAGATTCATTCGATTAAGAATAGCATGCATGTGAACTAATGATAAATTTATATAATATGTATCATTATTTAGTTCAGTAATATGAAAAAAATAAATTAATTAAAATATATTCAGAGAGGCATAGCAGGCACCAAAGATCAATCGTATATAGCAATCCTATTACATTCATAAAGTAGGACTAAAAAATGTTGAAGCATTTCGAGCGAAATTCAAACATATCTTAAACTTGATACGAGTTATCTTAGCATAAAATGTGCAGATAGATTATGGTACCTTTCCCTGCATTGACGAACAAACAGTCGAAGCCAACTGTATTCCTGCTCCTATTCCGAGGACGTTAAACAGAGTGGAAATTGCTTCACCTTTAGCAAAAAGGTCACTTAGATTTCCCTCTTTCGCAAATGAAGAATATATGGGCAATCTCGTCGCTCGTGCAGCAACAACCGCCATTCCCTGCCAAACAGAGACTTCTTCTCACCGCCTTAACCATAAAATGTTAGAAGCAGATAAATAGAAAAGGAAAACTCAACTAACCTTAGCAAAATTGCCAAGCCCGGCCATTTCAAGAAATAAGTGCGGACATAAAGGTGAAACTACTTCCAGACCAGTACCAACGTCGTAAAGAATGTCAGCTGCAAGTGCAAAGTTCGTTCTTAAAAAAATTCCATAGCAAGATAATCAAACGTAATAAAATATAATCCCTCCGACTAAAACAATTAGACAGGATTGAGAGGCTATGCAATTAAGGTAACATATCAGACCAAAAATCCTCCAACTTTTAGGTTCTGAGTCCATTCTTGCACCCAAATTGCTACAAATTATCTTTCCGACATGCTGCATTCCATCTTTTAATATCTGCAGTTAGTTAAAACAATATAACCGACCCATAACAGGAAGAAATTAACGAACCATTTGATGGATTTTACCGAATTATAGATGATAGACACTTACCCAACTCACAGCAGTAGCCTGTGCAGGCGTAGGTCGTAAGCCTGCAGCAAATAGAAGAGACTGAAAGGGATTAAGTAACCGAAACACAACCTTACAAGAGTGGCAAATTTGCATAAAAAAAGAACAACAATGTCGGACTTTATCTATCATTTAGTATAGGAGCTTGGAAGAAGACCTGAGTTGATAATACAGATAATGTTGCACTTGTGAAGTGTTGCAATGCCCGGAATTGTGTGTATCTAAGATATCCCTCACTAACACTGCAGATGTAAGAATGAAATATCGAATTTCAATTCATAAAACAGGAAATAATCCGTTCCGGACAGAGACTTCTATACAGTTATATATGAAAAGACACTATCTTACCTATATGGGTAACCGGACGGGAGGAATGTACTTATAAATGAATCGACCATTCTTCGAGAGGCAGGTCTGGAATCATCCACTATTCTCACCTGAATTCAATCAATACCGAATCAAGATTGTGCGGCATGCCATAAGAAAAGGTCTAACATTGTTGTAGAGATACATATTATGTGGTGAAAAGCAAAGCTACCGGATCCTCGAAAAAACTACAATCTAGCAATGTAACAGGTTCTTCCCCTAGCCAAACTTCAGAAGTTCCTTACCGAAATTTTTACACCTTCAATTCAACATATCCAATAAAAACATTGGAAATCTAACAGCAATTCCATGAAAATGGCACAACAATTAGGTCAATACATATCGAACACAATTTCTATTATACACTAAGTCATTGTGAAGTCCTAAACCCTAAACCCTAAAACAGTAAGAATTTCAAATTTCCAATTGGAATCTCCAGAAAGCAGAACGAACTGTAACAAAAACACCGCAAGAACATCGGAAACTATATTTTACCTAAATAATATCACACAAGCAACTGTTCGTTTTAGAAACTTGAACAAAAGAATTCGAGCTAATAAGTGTTAAAACCGGGGCGCACAGAGAGTTGGCCGTCAGGTTCGAACTGAAAGCGGCGAGAAACCGAATCCGCAGACTCAATCCAACACACCGGCGGCGGAGGCGCCGCCGGATCATCTGGTTTCTTGCTTTGCATCTTTAATTTTTCCTACAGGGCGATAACACCGGAACAAGGCCAACAAAAAGATAGAATTACAGTTCGATGCAAAAAATAAATTACATAAAAATTGAAATTCAACGAAATGGAAAAAGCAAATGGCAGAATCAAGTATACCAAAAGATCCATGGATAAGATGTTGAAGAAGTTGCTGCGGCAGCCGCCGTGAACGACCCAAGCTTGAAACGGCGAACTACCGATGTGAAGAGAGTAAAACTCAAATTGTTGTCCCTGTCATAATTATCAATTTGGTCCAATTCAAAAACAATTATGAATTACTGTTTCACTTTGATGAAAATTTATTAACGAAGTGGTTCAGTAGGATTGAACACCGACTGTGTTGGATGAGTGAGTGTCCAAGCAGCCAATACCGGTGTTGATTAACCTGCATTTTTTACTATTTTTCATATAATCATGTAAGTCATATTTATTATCATTTTTATTTTTCTATTAAAATTATTTGATATATATATTTATAATTAATAAAAATATTTTTTATAATTATTTAATAATATAAAAAATATATAAAAATAATAATATATTAATATGTATTTTTAATAATCATTATTATATATATTTTTAAAAAATTTATAGTAAAAATTTTAAAATATTATTTTAAATTAATTATTTTATAAATTATAAATTAAATTTATTATTCAAAATAATAATCCTTTAGTCCTGTATAATTAAAAATATATTAGTGAAAATAATTATCATATAATATAAATAATTATAAATTAAGATTAAAATAACTCGTTAGTTTAATTAAAATTTTAAAAAATTAAATTATAAAATATTGTGTAATTATTTTTCCAAAAAAAAAAAGTGACAGGGGACGTTGATGGACAAAAACGACATTTTAGTCTTGTAATTGAACCCCTATCATTTTAGTCTCGTAAGTGGAGCATGTCGCAAACTAGTCCCATAAATGAAAATTTTTTGTTGTTTTAGTCCTCCGACACCGGAGACGCCCGCATGGTTACGCAAAAACAAAAAACATTGAATGTGTTAACTTAACAATTTTTTATATATATTTTTTGATCAATATTACAAAAACTAAAATATACATACACTCACGTCATATCTAGTATACACACTCACGCGTTGCTTATGTGATATTGTTGCTCATCAACCTCGTAGAGCTCAAAAACAAACTAACAGTTTGCGAAATTAGTTCAATTATACTCGTTTAAGTTCGTTAAGAGCTCGTTTGTCAAGTTTAACGAGCCAAAAACAACATAAATTTTAGTTCATTATGTTCACGAGTTTGTTCGCGAATGTTTGGTAATATTTATAAAAAAATTAAATTAATAATTTTATATTTAATTTATTTTTAAGATAAATAAAATCAAAAATTCTCTTAACGATCCGAGCCAAACAAGAAAGGTATTATCACAAGTGCTACAAATATTGTCTTCCGGGTGGCGATCGGTCCATTGACATATGTACGTATGCCGAGCCCCACGGGTCATCTTCTAGGTGTTATTCGCATTGATGCTACCGGGCTTCTGAGTTTTCGATTAAAGGTATATACTCCGTAATTTAAATTATGACGTGAAATACATACATAAGAGTGAGCATATAGGCTGATCATAAATCAATCTGTGTATTGTATGGTACAAAAAAAAAAGCATCAGAATACACACGTAGCTCAAACCAAATCAGGATCATCTTCATAGTCGAAGTCAGCTTCGGCCGACTGCCTTCGCTTCACGTCTCTTGGCGCTCTCCCCTTCTTCGGTTTCCCACTGCAACCACAATATAACATAGACTCTTCAAACACAATGTAGTTAAAGAATGAGACGACGAGGAAGTTATAGAATGCTTACGGTCCATTGGCTGGTACACCTCCGTCTCTAACAATTTCCTCAGCCTGATATATATATATATATACACAAGATAAAACTTTGATCAAACATGGGTTGGCTTAAAAATCTTCCGGGACAGTTTTAGACGAGATCCCAGAGTAGTTTAAGGTCTTAAAATGTTGTAGATCATTTGTTCAGTTGATTTCAACGACAGTCATCAAGAAAATGTAATATTCAAGTAAATCACCATTGTGGCATTCTACAAAAGCTCTAATATTGAATATTTTGACAAAAAGATCAACACGACATCAAGCAAAGAAAGCGAAGCACTGAGCAAGCATAGAACACAAGAAAGACACACACAACATCTCTCTCTATCCAAATCCCTAAAATGATATCTTATGATTCCATTATATGTACAGAAATAACAGGGTGCAAGTAAAGTTCATACGGCTGGTGAGGTGACGGACGACAAAGAGAAGAGCCTGTCTTCAAGCTGAAACTTCCTCGAACGTTTCAAGCTGCACAAGATCAAAACACAGTAAAACCATTATGTCGTCACACTACCTGAGAAAGAAATCAAAAGTGAATTCAATACACCAATCTGCAGCAATGACTTGGTGCCCTAATCAAGATTCAAACTTTTATGTGAACAAGCTTATTCAGTTTCCGCTCGAATTGTTTAAGGAGCTAACATATCAACTCAAAGTAACTCAATAATGCTCAGTAAGGCCATGAATTTTATGTTTTTATTATATTTTCGATAAAATCAGCATATATATATATATATGTGTGTGTGTGTATGTATATACATTAATCAAGATTCATTTTCCACCCTAACGAACTTCATGGAGCAAAAGCAATTTTAATCCATTGTTCATTAAAAACTTAGAGTAAGAGCAAGGAAATCAATGGAGGAAATTCAACTCGAAGAAACTAATTACAGTGTAGTGCTCTTTGAAGAAGACAAAAACCCTTCAAAACCTTTCAAGACATTGCCACATTGGCTTGGATCCTGTAAATAACTCGTCTCCATATCATACACCTTCAATAAAAAGGAAGAAGAAAGTCATTTCAATGAGCATCACGTATGCACATTGAAAATTTTCTGCAAATAAGCTCCGAAAAAATGGAGAATCGTTGTCAGTTGTCACCTGCTTTTCGATGCTCCGGAGTTCGTCGTGTAGCCTCGACCTTTTGCACAAGAGAGCTCCGAGCATTGCAGTAGGACTCGAACCAGTGCGTTGCCCTAGAAAGATTGACAAAAAAACTTAGCACAAATTCAGCATACAACATCCGGAAATTCAAGGAAATATAGCGCTTCACGATGCGAAAAGATATTCTACCTTCCGATTCCATGTCGAAGTTCCAAGAATCACGTTTCAACGCCGATCAATTGCAGTATTGCTTCTTCTTCCCCGTCGCACCCTTCGATCACGAACTGGAACTGTAATTGTGGATCGCAAACGACGACGTTTTGTAGAAATTTCCCAATCCTCAATTTTCTCTCAGAAGAGACAAAATGACAATTTTGTCCCGCTTGTTGACTATTTCATTATTAGTTTTGAAAAACTTATTATTTTAATATAAATTCCAATAATATTTAAAAAAATAATAATTATATAAATAAACTTCACCCCTAATTATCAGCTGCAGTTCGTCGTCGTCTTCAGCGAGCTTCGTCTGTGAGATTCTTTCAAGCTTCTACAGCAATTTCGACTGGTTCGCTGATTGTTATTTCAGTTCGATCTGATTTTGCGCCGTTTCAGTGAATTTTCGGTGTAAATCGTTTGAACATACACCGGCTATTGACATCGTATGGTGATTTTCTGTTTCGATTTTTACTCTCCCAGTACAGATCTGCACCGCCAGTCTGCTCGATCAAATTCAACTGCCAAATCCAAATTTTGATAAAGATGCACGGGAGGCCGCGGAAAGACCCAAGTCAAGAAGAGCAAGAAGCATCGTCGCTCAAAGCCGCAAAACTTCGTGAACTTCAATCTCAAGTTCTTCATTTTCACCACAACAAAATGTATGCACCTTTTATTTTCCTTGTTTTTCCGTATTCTGATTCAGATTGAACAATTTCTTCTAAATTAGTGCAAATTATTGTTGTAGATACACAAAGGAAGCTGTTGAGATTAGTGCCAAACTCGTAGAATCAAATCCTGAGCATTATACTGGTTGGAATTACCGGAAGCTAGCAGTACAAGACATCCTCAAGCAACAATCGGACGGCGGAGCTGATCCTGAATCAATTCAATCAATTCTTGATGAAGAGTTGAGAGTTGTATGTTTTACTTATTGACTTTAGTTTGTTATTCCAGATTGCTTAAAATTTGTCTCACGTTTATTGAAGTTTATATGAATTCAACTCTCTGCAAAACTAGTTATATAATGTGAATTTCATTTAGGTAGAGAATGCATTGAAGAGGAATTTTAAATCTTATGGGGCATGGCATCACCGTAAATGGATTCTAAGCATGGGCCATTCATCCACGGATAGGGAATTAAGGCTTCTAGGCAAGTTCCAGAGGCTCGATGCACGGAATTTCCACGCATGGAACTATAGGAGGTTAATTGCTGAAACTTTCTTGTCTAGTGGGAAGATGACCACTTGCTTCTGTTAAATCATGTTTTCTGGTAATGGTCATTTCAGGTTTATAGCAGGGTTGAAGAAGATCCCTAATCAAGAGGAACTTCAGTATACAACAGATATGATATATGATAATTTCAGCAATTATTCTGCCTGGCATAACCGAAGGTAATACTAGTTTACCAAATCATATATGATAATACTCTTAGGAGTACCGATGGGTGGATAATATGCATCATTTTATGCGATTGTTATCCAATGAAAATTAAAAAAAAATAAAATAATTTGAAAGTAGAAAAGCTTTTGGTATGTTAAGATTTTGATTGGAGTTATGCCACTTTTTTGTTGCAATTTTACTTCTTAAACCTCGACGAACTTGCAGTGTGCTTTTGTCTGATCTCCTGGAGAGAAAAGAAGGATTTTTTGATAAAGAGAATGTTCTCGGAGAGGAATATGAGTTTGTACGAAATGCTCTCTTCACAGATCCTGATGATCAAAGTGGCTGGTTTTATCATCTATGGCTTTTGGATCAAACCCTGAAGCAAGAGCCTCTATTCCTTTCTTCATGGCCTCCTCATGGCGCTAATGTGAATTTGTCATTCGACAGTCATTTCAGTGACCAACCCACTCTACATTTCCGGTCTAAGGCTGGCAGATTTCCTCTCATTATATATTTCAACGAAGCAGTCAATGGAGTAAGCTCCTCCACAGTAAATATTGAATGTCAGTATAATGCTCTCACTGATTCCGTTTGGAGTCCACTTTCAGCAAATAAATCCGGTTATTCCCAAGCCTGGTTGACTTACCTGAAATTTCCTGATGAAGTCGATGCCTTAGATGCTTGTCCTGTAAAAGTTATAGTTGCCGAGCTTCCGGGCATTACTTCCCTAAGTGGTATGCCCTGCACCAAGTCTTGGGGTATATCTTTTACTGTTTTATTATATTCTGATAACCGAGGGCAGTCTGAGGTGCAAGCAACACATGAAAGAATATCATGGAAAGAGGAAAACTTTAAATCTCTGGAGACAGGCTTTTTTCACTCACTTTGTAATTTGGAAATAACGAAGGAAAATATACCTTCGCCTCCTAAGTGGAGCCTGGAGACCATATCCAATGAAATAGATCACTGCCAAGAACTTCTGTTTACAACGAACTGGTAATTTAGGGTAATCTGTTTTTATGCATTATAGTAAAGTGATAAATTTCTTTAACTTTTCTGATTTTTTGTGTTGTAGTAAAATTGGAAAACTCACTCTTGCCAGACTCTTGATGGCTCGCAACACATTGATGACTTACAACCGAGACGATGGAGCAGAATTCAACTTTGAGGAAGTTCTTGCACTTTATAATGACTTAATGAAAATGGACCCTTCACATATTTGTTACTATGAAGATGAGTACAGCCTAGTCTTGTTGAAGCAGGTTAGTGTCTCTTTTTTCGGTCCGACTATTTGGGATTTTAACTGATTCATGTTGATCACTGTTGAGAATTGCATCTTGCAATTGTTTAGTACAATCAAAAACCTTTTGTGATTCTGCAGTTGACTTCAAACTCGGAGACTTTGTTGAAGCACTGTGGTGAATACAAAGAGCCTTGTTCACCACATACGATTTCATATTTATCTGTGCGAATGAATGGCCTCTCGTTGTCGCGGATTGGGAGTATGGAGCAGTTATTATGGGTTCAAATTCTGGATCTCAGCCACAACAAACTCCGATCAATCGAAGGTAGTGTATACTATTGCTTGCTAATACCAATTCTTCAACTCAATTGCATCATTATGCATAATTAGCATTCTTTAGAAAAATAAATAAATATCGTAATTCGTAGGCCATCCTTCAATGCACTAACTATTTTATTAATTGTTTGACACGTACGAGTACATTGCTTGCTACCAAATACTTGTGTTTTGGTTATTTTTTAGTTTCCTCCTATTTTAATTTCTGTCCTGTCTTCCTCGCTGTCTACATTAGTATGCATCGACTTCTTACGTTTTCTATTGCACATGAAATCCACAGGGTTGGAGTCTCTACAGCTCCTGTCGTGTTTGAAGCTCAACAACAACAAATTCTGCAGCTTTACAGCTCTAGAGCCCTTAAAATTACTGAATTTGCTAGAAGTGTTGGATATATCAAACAATGAGATCGGAAACCACTCTATTGATACAAGGCGATACTTGTGCTCGTCTCCTCTCACTAACACAGGGGGAAGCGAGTGGCAGTTCTCGAAACTTGCAAATAGCGACATCCAGTTGAGCCATTACTGGGACGCGTATCTGCTATTCAAGGACATGAATCTGACCCAATTAGAGATCACGGGAAACGCAGTGGCTGATGAACGGCTGCACGCCCTTCTGCTCGAGCTCATGCCAGGGCTCGCCTGGCTGGACAGCGAGAAGCGCCGATAGGTTTGTTTGTTTGTTTCAACTGATTGCAGAACGTTGTCATTCTCTGTTTTTTAAACTTATGCTTGTTGAGATTTGGTGCAGTGTACTATTACTACTACGACGACGACGATGACTACGACTACTCTCTGGGATCAGTATTTTTCGATGGGGACCAGAAGGTATGACAGAAAACTTGATTTAATTTTGTCTTTTGTGTTCGATGATCGAAGGATGAATCATTTATTCACTGAATTCAGTCACACTATTTGAGATTGAAATCGAAATCGAAATCGACAGGGTAACATTCCTATTGGATGAGATGTCTTGCACGTTTTACTCATCTTCTTATTTTCTCCATTTGAATCATTTTCTTGATTGTTTTTCTCACTTTTTTTTTACCCTTCTCTGCAATACTAATGTGGATAAGCATATTGTTGTGTACATAGTTTAATATAGTTTATACACTATGGTTCTGTTTGTGTGTTTTTTTTTTTTTTGTTTAATGTGTGCTTCAATTTATTTGCATTATGGTTCAATAGATTTATAATATGGTTTTAGAATTGTAGTTGATATGAAAAAAATATTTAAGTTGGGACGAAGAAAGTATTTTTTTTACTAATTTAAATTACAATGTGATGTTTTATCACTAAAAATGTGCTTTGTGTCACGGTTAACTAGAACTGTTAACTATCCGAGCCGAGCCAAATTTTAAGTGTTCGTTAACGTTCGCGAATACGAGGCTCGTGTTCGTTCGTTAAGCTTTTGAGCTCGTTCGTAGTGCTCGAGTTCGGTCCGTTAAAAATTTTTGTTGTTTGAGTTCGTATTCGGTTCGTTTAGGCTTGATTAAGCTCGTTCGAGTTTGTTCGAGTTCGTTTGTCTTATTTTTTTAAATTTATATATAAATTATAAAGAAAATTTAAGATTATTTTATTTATATATTTTAAATTAATATTTTATTTATTTATAAATTATAATTTTATATGTATATATAATATTTATAATAAATATATTATTTAAACTAATCGTTCGCGAACAAAGCTCGGCGCGAACGAAGTTCGGGCTCATTCGTTAACCAAACGAGTCTATTTATATTGTTCGGCTCGGCTCGTTAACGTTCGCGAACAAGTTTTAACCGAGCCGATTTCACGAACGGCTCGGCTCGTTTAACAGCTATACGGTTAGCTACATAGGTTCGATTGAAATTTATTCGAATTGCGCTGATCGAATAGTGGTCGCTAACTTTTACATTATAAAAGTAAACTAGTTGGCGTTACATAGAATTTGCCTAATACGGTTGATTTGCATACCAAAAATCACTAAAATTTGATTAAATCCAATACAAAACTAAGATATTTCACACTAAACCCTAATGAATAATATGAATCCATTAGAAAAAAGAAGAGGAAGAAGAAGACGATGAGTAAGAACAAGTGTTTAGAAGATCCTCCAAATAATCAGCCCCCAAATCTTCTAGAACCATCACACCATTCCTATCACTATTCTTCTCCATTTCCATACTCCTCGCCGCCGCCGCCGCCGTCGATTTCTTCTTCCTAGAGTGGCGCCGCTTCAGCGCCATCACCGGCGAGCCGCCGGCTTCCTCCTCTATCATACCCTGCAGCGACGCCCGCACCCGGTCCACCGGAAAATTCAGCACCGCCGTGCACCCCCGCATGGCGAACGCCGCCTGATCGTACGCCAGCGCCGCCGCCTCCGCGCTGTCGAACGTCCCCAGCCACACCCTCACCCCATTCCGCGTCGAGTCTCTTATCTCCGCCGCGAACTTCCCCCACGGCCGCCGCCGCACCCCGCGGTACGCCTTTTCCCGGCGGGTTCCGCCGCCGCCGGAACTCTCCTCCTCCTCCGACTGACAATTCGCTTCCCCTCCGCCGCCGCCGCCCTCTGCCAGAACGCCGTACAGAAGCATCTCCTCCGAGTCGTTGAAGTTGAAGGGCAGCGAAACGTCGTCGTATTGGTACTGGAAGAAATTCGAGGAAGAAGAATCCATTGTTGGAGCTCGATATTTAATTGATCGATTTTTTAAATTTTTTGTTTCCTGAAAATGGAGGGCTATAGATATATGTATGTGTGTGTATATATATATACATAGATACAACAGAAATGGAGAGTGGACCATGGAAGAGGAGATGGATTTCCTAAAGGCAGCACGTGAGTCAAACGGGAACGATGACGCACGGCGGCGGGGGAGGACCTTCTCGTTCTTCTCACTCCCGGGAGCTCAACTCCAGAAATGATCCACACCGTTCGTGTGTTCGCCTTTGCTTTGCGTGTGTTTGGTTTTTTATTTGTTTTTATTTGTTCTACAATAAATAAATATATATTACATATATAGAGATAAATTAAATTGTATTGTAGTTTATTTATTTTAAAATAGTACGTTAAATATTTAAAAATTTATTGGAAAAGATACGAGTGAAGTAGCGAACAATAGATGTTTTTTATTTATAGAAAAATTAAAAAAAAAATTATATATAAATAAAAATATTTGGTTGGTAAAAAAATATATCAAAATAAAAAGATTTTGAGTGGATATTAATAATGTTATATGTCGTGAAATTAATTGAGCTAAATTATTTGTTAATTTTTTTTTTAATAAATATAATTTATTAAAAATAAAAATATATCAATCAAAATAGAATAGACTAAAAATGTGTCCAATTTGGAATGAAGGAAGTATAAAATATGCAATGGAAAGTATAAATACTCAGTTGTATAATGGGGCAATAAGATAGCAAATAATAATAGTAATAAAACAAATACTTCATCAGTATCAAAAGAGTTGTCTTATTTTTTCATTTTTCGTTCAAAAATAATTGTCTTGTTTTCTTATTTTAGTAGTCGTGGTCTCTACTTTATAACAAAATTATTTTTACTTTTACATACTACCCTGATTATTACTCTAATCTACTCTTTAAAATCCTTCAAAAAGTAAAAGTATTTTAGTCATTTACATTCTACTTTATACCCATTTTCAATTAAATACTACTCCCTCCGTCCCAATGCAATAGTCTTGTTTATCATTTTTGTCCGTCTCAAACAATAGACTTATTTCCATAAATAATCATACCACTGTAAAATTACCCCTACTTTTTCATTTTTATTACACAATTTCCACTATTTTTTACATTAATACACTCACAAAGGCAAAAAAGTCTTTTATGCATATTTTTTTACCAACTATCGATATAATATCAATGTTCATTAAATCTCGTGTCCAATCCAATTAAGACAATATTTATGAAATGGTGGGAGTATTATTCTTTAATTCTCGTGTCAACTCTCAATTAGACATCTCTTTTGGGACGAGGGAGTATTAAAATTCAGTTCTTTGGAATTTTATTTTAGCTTAAAAAAACACATCTTAAAATTCTTAAATGTATTTGAAAAATAATTAATTGATCAATTAATGAATTAAAAAAAATTACTAATTTATAAGAAACTATATTCTTCTTTTAAATTTTTACAAGAGCTTTTTTTATTTAATTTTTTTATATTCTTTATGTACTTTTAAATACTAACTCTCTCCGCATATATATATATATATATATTAAAAGAACAAGTGTAATAAATTATTTTTTAAAAATATATTAATTTGTTTTCACTAAAAGAACACAAATAGTATTAATTAATTTATTTTTTTAAAAAAATCATCTAAAAAAAATTAATTAAATATAATAATTTCCCCATTCCAATTGAAATTGAAAATATTATTATTATTATTATTTTTCATCTAAAAATATTAATTTTTTATTATAGTAAAAATTATCATATGTTAATACTAAATTATATTAATTTTTTTATATAAAAAATAATTTATACATAAAATAATTTTTTTTTAAAAAAAAACTATTTTTCACATTTTCGTCTATAAATAAAATAATATTATTTTTTTATTTATTAAAAAACCAAAAAAACCTATTGAAGTAAAACGGAGGGTATGTATTATGTAAGTGAGTATGTCACACTGAAAAAACAATGCCGGGGCAAAATCGTCATTATATATCCAAAAATTTTCTTTGAAAATTCAATTGAATTTCAATAAACTTGTGACAAAGGAAAAGATTAGGTGCATAAATAATAAATAAATAAATAGCCAACCCTACAAATATTTAATTAAATAATTAATTATTTAAGCCTTGGTCAAAACTACAGAAGAAAACTAGAAGACCAACTTGCCCGATACGAATATCATTATCCAGTCCAATGAACATTCTAGAAGACCTTTCCAACAAAACAAAATTATTTAAAATAATTGGATTTGAATTAAAAAAATTTAATTTAATTATGTAAACAGATTAATATAAATTCGATTTGGTAATAAACAGATCGGATTAAGATAGGGTGATATCAGCTATTTAAAAAAAAAAATTAATACTCTCTCTGTCCCTTAACAATCTGTTCATTTTTTTCATTTTGGTCCGTCTCATAACAAAGTATCAATTTTTTTTTTAGTAATTGTATTATTTACCTAACATTATAAATACTATTTCAATTTACAATATACATAAATGATGACATTTATATCATACAATACTAATAGGATTAATTTAATTTTTTTATCTTTATTTATATTTTTATCTCAATATAATACTAATATTTTTAAAACTTCATGCAAAAAATAAATGGATATATAAATATGAGACGGAGGAAGTATAACAAGAACTCATACCCACAACCAAATTTGTAAAAGATAGAAATTTTACCATCAAATTATTTTTTAAGTTTTGTCATTGTTTGAATTAAAATAGTTATTCGATGTAACATATATTAATATCATGTTTTGTAAAATTAAATTTTAATATAATATAAAAAAAAATATTTATTCTGTCTCATTTAAATTGTCCATTTTAGCTTAAGCATAAAATTTTAGATATTGAATAATTAATAAGTAATTAAAAAATATATTAGTAAAATAATTATAAATTAATATTAAGATGATTAAATATTTTATTTAATATAAAAAGTTATAGATTATAAATTTTAAAATGTAATTAAAACGGTATAATTATATTTCCAAGAAAGAATGACAAGTTATACGAAACAAACGAAAATAGAAAAATTGGACAAAGAAAGTGAGACGGAATGAATAATAGTTTAATATTTTGAACAAAGAAAAATTATAAATAATAAAAATCTATAAACAAACAGAGCTTATGTAAATGGATTTTATATTTTATTGAATTTAAATATATTTTTTAAAAAATAGACATATTAATAAAATAAAATAAGAGTGGTGTCCATGTCCAGATTCAGTCCCCTAAATGTTCATCATGTCACGGTCAGTCACAGACATATTGAAAGTCTTCCTTACCAAAAGGAGTCAACACTCTATTTTTATAATATTACTATATTTTTTAATTACATATCTATTTATCTTTTACGTCATTATATTTAATATTTAAAAAATATTTAATATTTGTATAAATGTCATTTTATTAGTATTATAAGACACTAATAAAAATATTTCTGCAATTTATTTCATACTTTAAAAAAAAAAAATGTATTATTGTATGTTTATCAAATATAATATGCAAATTATAGAAATGAGTACATATTAGTATAAAACTTTATGACTATTTAATACACAAAATTTTGTCCATAGTAGCAATACGAGAATTAGAGTGTTTGGTTTGGTCGTTCTGTTTATATTTTGAATTTTTATAATAATAATATTATGTAATATTATTACGAAAAATAATAATAATAATTTTTTAATTCGAGAATTGTGTGAAAAACTTTATTAAACATATTTTTTTAAAAGAAAAAAAAAACAGATCAATATATTTTAATATCTGGAACAAAATTTGATCTTGGCACTTAATATGAACACATGTAAACTCACTTGTTAAAAATTAACTTGTGATCTTTTTGACCCAAACCTGTTTGGCCCGATCCGTTTAATATATTTTAGATATATATATATATATACATATCGATTTTATTATTATGTTGGTTGAGAAAAATCAGCATTATGTTAATTTATCCAAAAAATAAAAAATAAAAAACATAAATTAATGTTCAAATTGTATCAATTTTTAATACAGATAGCGATGGATTTTGTAAAAATATAGCATAATTATCTCTGAACATAAAAAATACTCTTCTTGTATAATAAAAATAATTTTAAATTAAAAATAAGATAACTAATTAGTATAATTAAAAAAATTATAAATTTAAATATTTTAAATGAGATTAAAGTTTATAATTATTTTCTAAAAGTAAAAAATGAGACAGACGAAAATAGAAAAGTAAAGACAATAAATAAGACTGAGGAAGTATATAATTATACAAGATGGATGACAATGGAGGAATAGTGACCGGCGTGACGAAGAAGAAAGTTTTTTTTTTTTTTTTTTAGGCTAAATTACAGAAAATTCATCTGTGATTTCAAGAAATTGTATCAAATCCCCAATATTTTTTAAAACTACATCAAACTCCCTTGTGGTTTTATAAACTATGCGTCTAATCCTATCGGCGGTCATTATTTAACGATATTTTACCTAAATGCGTCCAAACTTAAATAAGGACCGCCGACGGGGTTAGGCGCATAGTTTATGAAACTACGAGGGAGTTTAATGCAGTTTTAGAAGTATGAGAATTTGGTACAATTTCGTGAAACCACGTGTGGATTTTGTGCAATTTAATTTTTTTATTATTATTTCTTTTTAAGAATATTGAACACAAGATCAATTTAGAATTTTGAACATTTGATATGTAAATATGAAATAAACTTTTAATTTTAATATATATAATTTCAGGGCCCAATTTTTTTCATAGCAGATCAAAATTTCAAATTGTATTTATACTATAATTTTATTTAAAAAAATAGCTGAACCGGCCATAGATCAAACCGGTCTAAGCCGGTCCATGCAACTTGAAGCACAACCTTAATTTTTGTGATTAAGTGGTGTGCCACGTGGACAAGGAATGTTACCTGTCCCTAATTTGTTGACAATTGTGAATGTCATTATTTAGTATTTTTAATTTAAAATGTTTTTATGTTTGATGTATATATAAAATATAAAAAAATAAAAAATTGATGTTTTGTTGTATTGTTATT